CCCAAAACCCCAAAACCCCAAAACCCCAAAACCCCAAAACCCCAAAACCCCTAATAGATCATATCATAAGAATTCAAGGAACAATAATTACTGTTTAAAATTTAAGTTAAATATGATTCTTTACTCAATTTATAAAAAGAAAATAGTATATAATTTATAACATTTAAATGTCTAACAATAAACAAGCGTTAGAGCAGCTTTAGAGATAGAATAAAGTGCTCCATGAGGCTATAATTGATCTCTACCTTTAAGTCAAAATTCGATCAAATGATGAGGTAAATAATTTAACCGCTATAACATCAAATTAAGATTGACAAATTCAACGAAGGAATGTTTGGAAAAGAAAGAGATCGACTCATGAAGTTTGATAGTTTGACTGTTTTAGATTACATCAAAACATCCATTGAGATTCTAATGTAAATGAAGCTTGAAGAAGAGAAAATAGGTGGTGATCAGAATGGAGATAAAGTTCAAAGAATTTCCAAAAAGCCTAGTACTAGTACTTAGAATTTCGACCATTAAAGTGAAACACCTTAATCTTCATCAGTCAGATCTATAGAACTTCCGCCTAAAGAATATGAAACTCAATTATAACAGTATGAGTCCGAAGTAAGAAATCATATAAAATGCGAATAGCAACTAAAGCTTCACATTGAAGTACTGTAAGAGAAAATTGATGAGCTGGAAAAAGAAAAAATTACCATGCTCGCAGAGCATGAAACTTTAATAAAAGAACTTGAAGAAAAGTTTAAATAACAATACAGAGAAATTATAATAGCTAAAGATAAGGATCTAGAAACTTTGCAAAGTGACCTAAAAGTTGCATAAAGCAAGATAATGCATTAAAGTTAACTAATAGAGAAATAAAAAGCTCTATAAATCTAAGTTTAAAATTAGCAACACCAGCATTAGTAGTTAATATTATAGCATTCATAGAATAGCCAGACTTAACAGCAACATCAAAATCTTCTAAATAACATGAATTAGAATTCATAGCTTGCTTAAAGTTCTAGCAGCTAGAACTAGAGAGTAAACACAAGTCAAAGTAAATCTCCTCCTAGCCATTCAAACATTATGTCAAGCAATAGCAAAAAGGTAAAAAATGCTTAAAAAGGAAAGAGTCCATATTTAAATGACTGCTTTTATAAATTGATTGGAAATGCATCAAATGCATCAGGTGCCAGTGCCTCTAATAACGGCTAAGCATCATCGAATAACTCGAGTGCTAAATCAAACAGGAAATCCTCATAAATCAATAATAATGCCTAAGATATATCTATTAGTGAAGCTTAGCCTACTTCTATACCAAGTAAAAAGATCAAGCCTGCTAATCAAAATTCACTGTAAGTTCATGTATAACTTTATTGAATAATTTAGTGCTGGAAATACTTTGCAAGAAAATATGAAAATAATAGCAGCTATTTAAAGAATGAGAATTGGAAACTAGCCTGGTCTGAATCTAAATTAAGGCATCATTAACCCACAAAGCCAATCTCAATAGCAACACAAGAAAAATAAGTCGTTCAGTCATTATGGAAATACCAGTGCTTCCTCAGCAGGCAGATCTATTACTTAATCTAGTCATTATAACCCTAGTGATTTCTAAGTTGGAGCAAATCTGTGGAGTGTATAAGACATCTCAAATATATCAAATATGAACAACAGTTTTTAAAATGAAAGAGTAAATCAAACTGTAGATGGAATAAGCAATTAAAACAACTAGAAGATGGTCTTGATAGGTAATAATGGAGGTAGAATACAAATAATTGAAAACCTCAATATAAACTCACAAAAAAACAATTCACAAATTTTCCAAACATAATAGCCAGTCGATTAAAATTAGCAATAGCTGTAAATTTCATTAAAGTTTAATCTATTTTAGGTTCACTAGAGTTAATCACGGAGATGTTGAAACTTATTAAAGGAAAAAATCTTCAAAGAAAACTAAATCAAATAAAAGAGATAATAGTTCCCACAGTGGCAGAGGCTCCTCAAATTCTCACTTAGGCTAGCCTAGCTCATTTACTAATAATGCAAGTATGGGTTCAAATATTCATCATAGAGTATACAGTATTGACATGATTGAAAATTAAAACGAAATTGGTAATTTATTAGCTGCAAATTAGCAAGATTTTCAAAAGAACTTCCAGTCAAACTAAATCATTTAAAATGCATCAATGCAAAGAAATACTGTAGATAGCAAACAAAAGAAGTAGATTTAATCATAAATACCAAATTAACGTGGACGACCTAAGTCTCAGATGGGTTCCTATTGTCTTTAATCTAATATTTGATTATTTATTTTAATAAGTTATAATTAATTTTTGTATAATGGCAGCGGATAAAAGTATTTTTGTGAGAATTGTTCGACTATTTAACCTCCTCTCAGCAGCTTTAATGATCATTGATGCTATAAATAGATTTTTTGATTTTTAAAGGCAATCTGATCCATTCTTTTTCTTGCTAACGTTTTATCTCTTCGGTTTCGCTGCTTTGCTAGTAATGGCTGAAATTAGATACAAGCGAGTGATTGCTTATGTCGAATTTCTTAAATCTAGGATAGGCAAAGGATTATATGTGATTCTGGTGGGGCTCTTGATCTTTGATGAAAATAGAAAGTTTGATATGTTTGTAGGAATAACCCTATTCTTGAATGGAGTCTTCAATATAATAGTGTCATGTATGAGAGATGAAATTCCAGATGACAATTTATATGAAAAAGCAGAAATGTATGATCCCGAGTCTCAGACTGAAGATTTGACTTAAGATCCCCAAACACCAAGATAGACGATTGAGCACTAACCAACCTTGCAACAATAATAAACAGTTAAGAGATCACCTTCATAGAAAAGTGAGGAGAAATAATAAGCAGCAAAGTAAGAGGTACAATTCGTCTACAAATTAGGTGCAGAATAAGATAAATAAAATATTCCTCCTGCAGGCTATAGTTCAAAATAAGTGCCTAACAAATTCTCCAGAGGATAGGCATACCAAAAGAAGAAGTGAAGTTATATAAATAAAACCAAGATTAGTTAATTCTGTTAATATTTAAACTATTTGCTAATTTATGGTCTAAGATAGATTTAATCAATAAGTATCGTGTCTACAATTCATTCAAAAATAGATCCACCCTTTGCTCTATCCTTCTTTTTAGTCTTCTTTGTTTGTTTCTTGGCTAGTTTTCCCTTACTGTGAAGATAGTATGCTCCATATCCAATGTATGCTATATTTGAATGAGGTTAATCTAAATTTATTACCGAAAATTCCCAAAAACAAGAGGATAGCGAATAAGATGAAAATGATATAACTAGAGTCCATTTCTTTCCTTATTTAATTAAAAATATAACCTATTCTATATTTTCTATTATTTTAGATTGCGGGGTTTTGGGGTTTTGGGGTATCAATATATATTACAGCAGC